CGAAGCAGCTTTGCTGCTGAGGCAGTAGTGCAATCAGTTTAAAACTAAACAGTAAATCTTACTTTTTAAAAATAACGTATCAATTTAGAAGCCGAGGTAGCTTTGCTGCCGAGGCAGTTGCACTAATAGACGAATAATAAACTGTAAAATTTACTTTTTGCAACAATATATTATTTGGAACCGAGGCAGCTGTGCTGCCGAGGTAGTAGTGTGTAAGTAGATTTAAAAAAATATTAAATGTTATTGAAGTGAACCTTGTTATGTAATAGCCGAAGCAGCTGTGCTGCTGAGGCAGTAGTGCAATCAGTTTAAAACTAAACAGTAAATCTTACTTTTTAAAAATAACGTATCATTTTAGAAGCCGGGGTAGCTTTGCTGTCGAGGCAGTTGCACTAATAGACGAAGAATAAACTGTAAAATTTCCTTTTTGCAACAATATATTATTTGGAACCGAGGCAGCTGTGCTGCCGAGGTAGTAGTGTGTAGATTTAAAAAAATATTAAATGTTATTGAAGTGAACCTTGTTATATAATAGCCGAAGCAACTTTGCTTTAAAACTAAACAGTAAATCTTACTTTTTAAAAATAACGTATCAATTTAGAAGCCGAGGTAGCTTTGCTGCCGAGGCAGTTGCAGTAATAGACGAAGAATAAACTGTAAAATTTACTTTTTGCAACAATATATTATTTGGAACCGAGGCAGCTGTGCTGCCGAGGTAGTAGTGTGTAAGTAGATTTAAAAAAATATTAAATGTTATTGAACTGAACCTTGTTATGTAATAGCCGAAGCAGCTGTGCTGCTGAGGCAGTAGTGTAATCAGTTTAAAACTAAACAGTAAATCTTTTTAAAAATAACGTATCATTTTAGAAGACGAGGTAGCTTTGCTGCCGAGGCAATTGCACTAATAGACGAAGAATAAACTGTAAAATTTACTTTTTGCAACAATATATTATTTGGAACCGAGGCAGCTGTGCTGCCGAGGTAGTAGTGTGTAACTATGTTTAAAAGAATATTAAATGTTATTGAAGTGAACCTTGTTATATAATAGCCGAAGCAGCTTTGCTGCTGAGGCAGTAGTGCAATCAGCACTACTAATCATCAATGCATCATTTTATAAGCAGCGGGGCAATTACACTAATAGTCGACGAACAGGCTGTAAAGTTTACTTTTTGCAACGATATATTATTTGGAACCGAGGCAGCTTTGCTGCCGAGGTAATAGAGTGCATGTACAGGATGTCCAAATTTCGATGGGTTTGCAGGGTATCTCAGTTATTATGAAAGATAGAAAGTTGTGGCTTTCGCGAACCTCAGCTACTTTTTTGTGAAATTTACAATGGCGCAAACCAAATTTTCATAGCCCTCTTCGTTTTTGATATACAGGGAGTGCTTGAAATGATTTTCAGACACCCTTGTATCTCGGCTATCCGGAAACTTAGTAAGAAAGTAAAAACGGGTTCTAATGCATTTTTTTACGTGGAATCCAATGGTGCACGTAGAATTTTTCTAGTCATCACGGTTTGAGTTATAACCATGTGAAAAAATCTATTAGAACCCGTTTTTACGTTTACGGATAGCTGAGATATAGGA